GCAGAGAGAATCGCGAGAGAAACCTGAAATTGTTATTCGGTCACAGATACGCGAGAAACAGTCGTGTGCCACGTCGTGTTTGACGCGCTGATGGCACGCGTGGCTTACTCGCGCGTACTATTTTACGCCAAGTATGGAACGATCACCCCTGCTGTCCGTTGCAGGACTGCTTTACGCTTCGCGAAGCGTGCAACGAGAGGAAGAGAGAAAGAGAGTGAGAGAAAGAGACGACCGGTGCACCTGGCCAGGTGCTACGTAACAGTGGGTCAATATGAAACACATGACGATACCACCGCGAAACCGTTGCGCGGGAAAATAATAACGAACGAACGGACAGACGTTCGTTTTGGTTCAAGTGACGCACGATCCTGATAAATCTACAATCAATTTAAAAATATATAAATTAAAATAAACATATAATTAAAATTAATGCGTGATAAGATTATTTCGAGCACCAACATCCTCGTTTGATTCTATACATTTTTTATCTGTCAATAAAAAAAAAAAAATTGTTACGTACGGAATTGCTTTTCCCTTGTAGTATTTCAAAAGCATTCCGGGAGAATATGTTCTCCCGAAGACACCTGCCGATTTCAACTACACCGACGACGTGATAGAAATTAAACGACACTGAAAAACCAGTCAGCATCGGACCTCGTGTGTAGGTCTGTCTCTTTTCAATTCGAAAACGGAAGACTCGCCCGACCGGATTCTACCGGTGTCTCCTCTTCGTGAAATTGTCAAGGCATCCACCGGAAAAAGGGGCCGCGTCGAGAAACGTCTTTTTTACAGGAAACACCCGCACCCGTCGCGTTCAACTCGACTTTAGACGGCCACTCAACGTGCACGTCGCAGCCGTTGTTAATTAAGGGACAATTTCTTCCTTCCTCTTTCGGTCAAAACCGCTTCCTCTTCTCCTTGCGAGACTAAGCCCGGAAATCCTTCTTCGTGAAGTTAATTCTCTAGAATCGTGACAGAAAATCGCATGCCGGCCGGACGTGCGATTCTTCGATAGACTCTCTTTGCACGATTGAGTGGATATTTAAAAGAAAAACAATAAAAACGAATATATATTGTCGAGAAAGTAAGAAAAAAACAAATTAATAGAATTTACCGAGTTTAGTGTGAAAATACAAATTGAGAACAAGTGTAACGAGAATTGATGATTTCTCGTGTCACGTAGAAAATGAATGAACGATCGTCGGATCTGCCACGGTTCTCGGTCACGCTGTTTATGCAACACGGCACCGCTGACAAGGACGATCGAGAGAGGGATGTTTGCGCGTTTGTTTCTCATGAACGCGTACCGCGTGATCTCACCGCGAACGGAACTTTCTACGGCATCCCGCAAAGAGCTGTCTGAGAAAAAGTTAAGAGATAATCGAAAAAAAAAAAAAAAAAAAAAAAAAAAAAAAAAAAAAACCCGAGCTCTCGAATTTCCTTACTCGCACATCCGCAGCGAGCTAATATCGCGATCGTCAATAATGCAATTCCCACGAAAAATTTAGTTGTCTTATTAATTTCGCAAAAGTATACAAAATATTATATAATATTATAAAATAATTGTGATTTCGCGCTTCAAATTTGGGGAACAACATCGATGAATATTAATACCTTTATCTAATAAATAATGCAGCAATCTCTTGAATTTCGCGGTTAAAACGCCCTTGTCGTTTTTTTTTTTTTTTTTTTTTTTTTTTTGCGCATAAAATATATTTTCGGTTCTGTATTGTTAAGCGGTGCTGTCGTAAAATCCTAAAGGGCTCTCTTCTCTGTCCACCCTTTGTTTTAGTGCCAGATACCATAATATATTCGCATTGTTCTGCCATGGCTGGTTTTCGCCGCAGGCT